TAACATGATCACAAAATCTAGAAGGAACACCAACAATGTAAAACAGAAATCATAGAGCCAGACTGAGGTGGCAAATTCAAGAGAGAATTAAATAGCTAGTTTGCGAAGGAATCAATTGAAGAGCATAAGAGATATGGTATAGGATTACTTGGTCATCTTAGTAATTTTAGTATTTGTTTTAAACTTTGGGCCCGCAATGTTCTTTTATAGTTCTGTACAAATCTGTTTCTATATCCATGCACTTTTGAAGTAGAAGGCACATTACTCTTCTCTAACAGTAGCTATCACTGTTCACATCAATGTATTCTTCACATATCATCAGTAGGTCACTCAAACCAACTGGGAAAACATACTTACATGTTAGCGACTACTCCTTGTATAAGCTTTGGGTCAAAATCACATGATCCTAATTGGTGACTACTCTAAATAAAGGGTCCCTTATTAATCAGCTCCAGTGTTTTGGCTCAAGAGTTTCCCAGAAAAAGGTTTCAGTGCTGTTACTGCTACTGCATAAGATATTATTGAAATAGAGACCTATACTATGCTTTGCATTGGAAAAAGAAGTAAGATTCAACAAAATTTAACTGGCGAATTGAAAGTCTGGGACTCAGTTACCTCAAACTGCTCTCACCTTTAGACTACTAGCAGATTTCAGAGCTATTGGGTTAAGAGGAAACATGCATGTTGCCCCCCTTGTCTGTTTCCACCAATAAAAGCCAGGTTACACCCTCAAATAATTTGCCTACTAGTGTTTGCCTTGCCTGTTGCATGGTGACATTAGATGCAAGATTGTATTTAGCTGCTTTACTGGTTCAATGGGTAAATACTGACTGCCCTGACTGTCCAGTGCCTTGGGACATCCTCCCGACGTGAAAGGTGCTATACAAATGTAATTTTGTATTGTATTGTATACACTCCCTAAGTGGTACTCAGCTGAAGTGGCCAGAGATATCAACCCCTGGATTGTGTTGGTTGATGTTAGATGCATATTGGTGGTGGCACTATAACAACAACAACTTGCATTTATATAGCGCCCTCCACGGCTGCCGAGGGTGGAACAGAGGACTCGGGGGACGAGGAGGAGGCCAGACCTGGAGGAACGGAGGCAATGGGTACTGATTTGAGGAGAGAGGTCAGAGAGGTAGGGGGGTGCAGAGGAGTGCAGGGCCTTGAATACAAGGTGAGGATCTTGAAATTGGCTTTGCTGCCCGTGGGTCTATGGGCAATGGAGAAGTCTCCCGCTGTTTCCTCTGTAAACTTACATCTTCAAGTTTGCTTACAGGATAACTGTTTCCAAGTTAAGCAACAACTGCCCAAGGCAGAATACATAAATTATATTAAAATAAGATTTTAAAGTAAGGAAAAACTTCTTGGTATCTGCCCTGTAATTGCCCTTTACAACTCTAAGCTCATGTGCTCTCGTTCACTGTCTTCACACATCCTAAAGTATTTATCTTTACTTTTCCAATCCCTTTAAAAAATGTATATATCTCAATAAGGTCCCCTCGGAGTCATCTTTCTCTCAAGGCTGAAGAGCCCTAGCTTGTCTAATCGTTGCTCATAACCTGGGCCAACAGAAGATTGTGGCCGCAATTTTTCTGCAGAAGCCGCTAGAAACGCCCTCCTCTGCTACAAACTTGTATACATAGTCTCGGTCCTCTGCGCGCTGGTTGCTCAACGCTGCTACGGTGGGTGCAGCAGCTCCGGTCGCGAGTGCCCGGTGCGGGGAGTGTTAGGATCGCAAAAACGGCGGGAACGGGAAATCAGCTTCACTCGCTATTGAGGGACCCATGATAGAAATACCATCTGCATGACACTACTGCCATATACTTGCTCGACGTCCGGCCAAACCTGAGCTCCTGCGACAAATTCTTGGTAAGTGCTGTACTATTCACATTAACATTTTTAGTATTTTAAACATAATTACATTTTCAGGAAATATATGCCTATAATTTTGACCTGTGTTGTTTCACAAAATGTATCTCTCAATAGCACTAATCAACGCTCTGCAATTTTCCACAGAATTCGGCAAATGGGCCCTCACTATCTGACAAATATTTCCCCAATTTTCTATTGTCCTAGCTGGTAGCTTATTCAATAACAACAACAACAACAAAATTACATTTATAGAGCCCCTTTCATGTTGGGAGGACGTCCCAAAGTGCTGGACAGTCAGGTGTCAGGCCCGAGCATGGGGGAAGGGTGGTGTAGGGGTGAGGGAAGGCAGAGAGGTGGGAGGGAGACCAAAGGCATGTTCGAAGAGAAGGGTCTTGAGACCGGCCTTGAAGGAGGCACAGGGAGGAAGTGAGGCGAAGGGACTGCGGGATGGAGTTCCAGAGTATGGGGTCAGAGAGGCTGAAAGCCCGGCCACTGATGGTAGGGCGGGACAGGTGGGAGACATGGAGTAGACCGGAGCCCGCGGAACGGAGGGAGCGGGCAGGTTGGTAGGGAGTCAGCAGGTCATGGAAGTAGGAGGGGGCAAGGCCATGGATGGCCTTCAAAGTGAGGACAAGGATCTTGAACTCAATCCTCTGGGGGATGGGATGCCAGTCGATTTGGGTGAAGGTGGGAGCGATGGGATCACAGAGCCTGGTGCGCGAGAGTACACAAGCTGCAGAGGTTTGGATGATCTACAGCTTTTGAAGGGAAGAGTTGGGAAGGCCGATGAGGAGGGAGTTTCCTTAATCGAGCCTTGATGTGATGAATGCATGGATAAATTTCAGCAGCCTGAGGGGTGAGGCAGTGGCGGAGTCTGGCAATGTGGCGGAGGTGGTGGTAGGCAGTGCCAGTCATGGGTGTATGTGGGGGAGAAAGGACAGTTCAGGGTCAAACAAGACACCCAGGTTCCTGACTGGCTTAGTGAGGTTGAGTGTGCAGCCATGGAGGCTGATGCTGCCAGCGCCCGAGGTGCGGAGGCGCTGGTGCGAGCCAATCAGGTAGGCCTCGGTCTTGCTGACGTTGAGTTGGAGAAAGTTGTCCCTCATCCAGGACTTGATGGCGGACAGGCAGTCGGTCAGAACGCCTGTAGTTCAGGGTGGAGGCAAAGAGATATAGTTGGGTGTCATCCGCATACATGTGGAAACGTACCTCATGTCTGCGGATATTCCTCTAACACTGGGGATCATTCTCATTACTTTCCTCTGCACCAAGCTCTAGGCTTGGGAACCCCATTCTGTTTACAGTGATCAAAACTGTATTCAGTATTAAATGTGCAGTCCGACCAGAACACAATACAGGCTCTGCACTGCCGGTAGGGCTGAGCATAGTGAAGAACAGTTAGCCAATGGGATATGACACGGGCAGATCCCCGTTAACAGTCCCAGTATACCATATGCTTTTAATAGTATCTTAAGAACCACAACATCACATAACAAAGTGAAGCCACTTCACACATCTCACTTTGTACTGCGTGAGAATCATGCTGTCGTTTGCGGCCTGCAAGCATGATCTTGTCAAGGGAGATTTCAGAAATACTCCAGGTCAGAGATTACACCACAATGTTTCCATTTTCTCTGCAGCCAAACCATCTCACACAAAAAGAACTTAGTGATGAGAAAGGAATGTGGTGTTAGTGATCCTGGCAAATTTGCTATGGACGTTTTACATTTCTGATTTTTATTACTAACCTTCGGGTCACAAGAATTCCACTCAGATAATTTTTTTACAAAGAAAGTTGAAGTAATTCTATTTCACACTTGTCTTTTTCACAAAGATCCTTTCTTGAAAAAAAGGGATCATCAGCCAAGAACACAGTACTCACTGTCCTGCAGGAAATGTGCTGCAATCCTGCAATACACAGCTTGTGAAAGGAAAACTTAACTCATCCCCCTCCCCATCCCAAATAATGTAAGGGTACCAAACTCCTTACATGTCTGTTACCAAAATGTTCCACATAGTTTTAAACATTGCCCTCTGCACTGACTGAATCCCAAACGAGTACAGAAACATTGTCATTTTGGTGGGCTTTGGCCAAAACATAAACATATTTCATCTGTTAGATTACAGAGTTGGTTATTATTCAGTTAATTCATACTCTAAAAATATATTGAAACCAGACTTGGTTGAGCACAAAGGATCTGTAACAAACTAAAGATGTTCCAGTCCAATTCTTGCATCTGAAAATGGTACTATTATTAACAGTATTATTCATGTGACCTTTTGAGCTGTAAATAATAATTATAGTAGTGGAAAATGCTTAAGTACTATTTATTTATCATTTCATAAAAATGCCCCAGGTTTGCAGTGTTACTCATCTTTGTCATGGAACAAATGTGTAGGCTGCCTATTATTCCTATATCTCCTACACGGCGGGACCTGCTGGGTTAGAGGTAGGCTGAAGAAACACCATTACATTATTCATATTTTTAGAAACAATAATAATAATAATCCTTGAATTTGGTATGGCATCTTTCACTTTGGGAGGATGTCTCAAAACGCTTTACAGGATTTACTGTGAAGTGTAGTGAATGTGTATTTTTTAGGTGGATGTATTTTATAGCTTCCCTAAAGGGAAGAAGGTAGAATATATATATATATTTTTAAAAAATCCTATCTATATTCTCCCTCTATTACTTTATCCTTTCCCCATGTTCCGTTGTCTGTCTAAGGTCTGTCATAAAACTTCCAATGTCCTCCAGCTTTTTCTGTTCTGTTTGTGATGTTCTCCCTATGGAGCTTCAAATAGAGGCTAAAGAATCAACGCTGTGTTTTTTTAAAAAAAAATGGATTTGAAATCATGGTAGTTTGCATCAGGATTTATTAATCTGACTGAAATTCACTAATGGGAATCCTGCTGGTAATTAGCAATACGGCATGACCAACTCACAGGATCTCTGCTTGAAAGTGCTGGAAGAAATTCCAAATTGAGCACAAAATACTACCAGTTATCGTCAGGAATCCCCATTGGCAACTCTGAGATGCTCTTATTAATCCTGTTGTGAAGCCCTGGTTCTCGACTCCCCCCTATAACAATGAAACATCAATAGAAGATGGCAGTTTACCTGATAAAAGCAGGACTAAGTTCAGTCAGTGAAACAAGCAGCTTCAAGGCATAGACTGGCACTGGGTCAGGCTCCATCAAGATCTGGTCATAACTGGAAAAAATAAGTTGCAAAGCTTGGAAATCAGCAAATAGAAAAATATCTTAAAAAAATAACTTCCAATTATTTGGGTCAGACACATGCGCAAACCCATCACATGAAGGTACTGTCCTCCTTTCCGTTTTTTTGTTAGTGGGTTCTCCCTGGCCACGCAACTGTTGCAGACAAGGATGTGTGGCCAACACCTTATTCCACACTGCCACTGGTGCCAACCTTAGCTAACTGCCAGCAACTCCCATCCTATTTACTGTCCCTGTTTCCATCCTTCCTCAGGTTATGAGAGTGCACAAACCATTCTGTTCCTTTCAATATTGCTCCTCTCAATATGCACCTATATCCACATCATTCGAATTTTGTTCACAAAAAAAAACTTATTTGAATTAGTCACATCACCAGTTGCTCTTACGGGAGTCTGTTCCACATAGTCACGATTCAATGGGGGGAAAGAAATCTCTGGTCTCGCTCCAGACTTTTTCATTTTAAACTTGTGGAGTCCTGTAGTTTAGCGGTTAGAGCACTCGCCTCGCAAGCAAGAGGACCTGGTTCGATTCCCAGGCAGAGCGAAACGTTAGACAAGTTTCCTTACACCATCCACATGCCTCTGTTCACCTAGCAGTAAGTAGGAGCCCGGTTGTTAGTCGCTGAGCAGATTGTTTTTCCAGGGGTAACAATTCCTTCAAAAAAAAGGGACACTGCTGTGCGCAATTGGCTGCCGTGTTTCAGCCACAAAATATACAGTCAATCCACTTTGCAGTATATTCTGTGAAGCGCTTTGAAATGTCTCGATGACGTGATAAGGCGCTATAAAAAAATTTAATACAGCAAATAAATTCGCAATATCCTCGTGATAAGTCACCAGTAATAAAGTAACAATCTGAAGGAAAAACCTATTAGGAAGTTCAGACGTAAAATCAGTGAAAGTTACCAAGGTAAATACTAATGTGAAAAATCTTCATGGAATGTCAAAAATGTTCCAGCTGAAAGGGCTACTGTAGAGGTTTATTTAACTCCACTATTGATGTCTAATCATTTTAGTGTGGTAAATTATTCCTGTGTAAATGAAGTTGATGGGTTGAAACAGTGCTCACCTTGAAAGCAATAACAATAATAAATTCCATTTGTATAGTGCCTTTCATGTTGGGAGGATGTCCCAAGGCCCTGGATAGTCAGGGATTTGGACCCAAGCTGGGGTTGGGATCAGGATGGGTAGAGGGCAGGAAGGCTAAGGGTAGGAGAGTCTTGAGACGACCCTTGAAGGAGGCAAGGGAGGGAGCAAGGTGTAGGGACTGGGGGATGGAGTTCCAAAGGGTGGAGGCAGAGAGGCTGAAGGCCCAACTGTCGATGGTGGGGCGGGCCAAATTAAGGCTTCAATGAAATGCAGTAACCAAAAAANCATATTGAACAGCCAATAATTATCAATATCCTTGTGATAAGTCACCATTAATAATTGAAAGTAGTAACATTCCTGGCACTTTACCATCAGAAAAAGCTTCTCATGATGTAAATTGCATATTCCTGAACAAATCCCTTGTGTATCACAGCAATGTCTGAGCCCTTAGCCCCAACCGCAGATCTCCTTGGAGCTACGATCTCATGGAATGGCATGACACACAAGGAGATTCCCTGCAGAAAATATAGTTTACAGCAGGAGGCACTTTTTTCTAGTAGGTGGCCACGCATCACTAACACTAATGTTTTGAAGAGGAGCGTATTTTCAGCTCCACTGTCTCATTTCGAAAGATTGTGCATTGTATTCCAGCTATACTAGAGGGAATTGAAGAGCAATTTGATAACGTGGACAAGAACTTTTTTAACTTTTGAGTTAAAATGAGTGCTTCACTACAATTTGGGCTATATGTTACCTTATTCATATGGGTACGACAGGGTGCATGCAGAAAAAAATCTTAAAATTGAGGCAAAAGGCACAAATGATGTCCCATCTGGAACTATTCTGTCTTTCTTCAAATAGTTAAATTTGGGTCTTCTTTGGGTAAACAGTTTTGAAGGCGCTCATATTAAGTAAAGAGCATCTTATGTTCAATTGTGCTATTCTAAGCTAAATGTATAAGCCCTGAAAAACTGAAGCCTCTTTTTCAGAATTCTACAGCGACTGAAGGTGAAAGCACTTTGCTCTAAAATAGAGAGAAATTGAACACAGATGAATTTAGTGCTGATAGCCATGAATCATATTTAATGGTAAGTGAAAGTTCAAGCGTAAACTACATCCTTTGACATCAATTTTAATATTCAAATAGGAATTATGTGATAGGGAACAGGAGTAATGTAGGATCTATTAGTCTGCAGCAAAATCACTTAGCCATAATTATTAGATAGGGATATGAGCCAGGAGAGAAGGGAGTGCTATTTAGGCGGCTCTGGTTGCCTTGATCAGTGAGGACTAAATGCTCTGACTAGAAGAGTCATAGAAATTCCAACATTAACAGAGGCCATTCAACCCACCGAGTCTCTGCTGGTGCCAGCTAAGAAACAGCTGAGAAGCATTTTGAGTAATTAAATGGAGAACAGCATGGATAATGTAATGAAAGGAATGGCATAACCACAGGGGCTTTAGAACTTCTCTGACTAGAGCTAAATAAAATTTAATAAATTATAGTCCAGGAACAGCTAAATATAAATACTTCTTGATCCACTGGAGTCTAACAGGGGTCATGAAGCACCAGCTTCATTCGATATAGTGAAGAATAACACCATCAACCTCAAATTAACTTCTGTTCTGAAGGAACATACTTCTTAATCTATCAAATTGAAATGATCCTGCTTGATACATGGGTGCTGCTTTTCTGGATGTTGGGTACCAGCAGCAGATCCCTGTGTACGCTGGCTAACTGCTGAGCACATGGGAACACAATACATTCTGCTCAGCAGCAACACAACTTCTAGATCCTGGGCAATTAACACATCCATAGAGAGCTCAGCCATGAAAATCACAGCTTAGGAACCTAGACAAGCAGATAATGTAGGTATCTAGTGTGCTATATGAGCAGTTATTCAGGTCTGGTGATTGGAAAATCATATTGGAGACACACAAGGCTTGTTTAACTGACTTGGAAGTGACCTATATCACCCAGAAAGGAATTGATTTTAGGCGCAGGAGATTCCCTTCCCCATTCTGAAAAACCACAAGACTATATTTAGGAAGAAGAAACTGCAAGGGGGGNTTGAATGCAAACTTAACCAACCAAAGAGCTTAGCAGGAGATCTGACAATGTATTAATAATGTTTAGAAAAAGCTGGCTTCAACCATCAGGCCAGATGGGCCACAGAGCAATCCTGCCTCCTCCCCACCCTTTGCCACGTGACTTAGTTAGACCACAAGAGTGTTGAGCTGGAGAGGAATGACAGAACCTGAAATGACAAGTTTCTGAATCCCAGAGTTGCATTGTATTGGATCACCAACAACAAATTATATCAGGAGGACATCCCAAGGCACTGGACACACAAGCTATAAGCACTCATACAATAGTGGGTAAAATAGTTCACATGAAAACTTTCCCCCCCCCCAAAGAAATTGCTGTGTTTCAATATTGCACTTCAATTTTGAATCACAGATTCAACTTTGGGACTTTGAGCTCACTGTCAAGGTCAGTGTTGTCCAATAGAAATCTCTGACCAGCCACAGGTATGGCTACGTCAACACCATTTTAGCCACAGGCGCTAATTGTGGTAGAAAACACCTTACATACACTCACACAATATTGGTAAATGACCTTAACATGTATATTTACTTAACAAACATCTACCACCAGTCAGTGTGAAACGCTGCAGTCTTCCCTTTATTTTTCATTCACGAGATGCACCAGACCCACCCCTGTTTTCCATCCAGTTGGATGCTGCTTGCCCTTCACCATGGCGTGCCTTGTTGGAGCTGCGTGGTATTGACTGGGCTTGCTTTCTTCTGGTTGAGCTGATCACAATTGACAGCTCCCCTCTCCATACAATATCGCTGGTGTTTCCATGGTGCTGAAAACCAGCGTTTTCACCCGTGTTACACAAATTTTAGCAAATAACCATTACGCAGTAACCAGGGAAATAAAGCTCACACAACAATCAAAAAACAGTTGCATACGCTGCTTTTTGTCTTACCATTTTACCAACAAATGCACAAAAAGGTCAAAGTACACACGTATACTCCGTACAAATAGGAGTATTCAGAACACATGCTCGACTGTGTCTATTGATCTTTTTTCATTTCAATAAATGCAATTTTACCACATCTGGATTCCCAGTTTGCCCTATGTGGCTTGTGGCTTACGTATTGGATAACCCTGGTCTCGGCTGATGCTCCAACATACTGCGCTCCATTGTTGGGGGTGCTGTCCTTCAGATGAGATGTCAAACTGAGGTCTCATCTGCCTATTCAAATGGATGTTAAAGATCCCAAGGCACTACTCAAAAAAAGAAGGGATGTTCTTCCAGTGACCTGGCTAACAATGCTCCAAATAAAAGTAGTCACTCATGGCTGTTTGCGGGCCGTTGCTATGTGCAAATTGGCTGCCACATCTGTCTACAAATACACAGTCACCACACTTTACTATAAAAATCCTGTGAAGCTCCTTGAGACATTTTGACAATTTGATAAGGTGCCAAATTAAACGCAAGGATAATTATACAATACATACTTAAATGTTTCTAAAATTCAGGTGTTAGGCACATGCATAAGCTAGGAATATTAAGAGTACAGAGAAGAAGCAACGAAAAGGTGTAGGACATAATGGCACAGTGACTCCATTTAAGTAATGTTTGTCAACATTTGTCTTGCTTGTGTAGGAACCAAAAATTGTTTTTATTTTGTGTTCAAGACAATGTGACAACGTTTTGAAAACTGCATTACATTTTGTGATCTGATTACATGACTTCCCCTCTTGTACTGTATAACTGTTTTTCTTGTGTGTGAACTTAATTGAATGTGCCAAGATATTTAATGATTTTGGTTATGGGGTATAATTTTTCTCTCTGTCCAATATTTGTTTTTGTCACGGTGGTCTGCATCTCTTCTCATTCCCCATTATGCCTTTACCTCCCCTGTCTCCCTTTACGCCGCTTTAATTCAATTCTACGGACAAGCAAGAATTGTGAACATGAGTACAATTAATTATAGTTTAAATAATCATAAAATCTGTGGTGCATATAAGAAATATTTTGAATTTAATTACATTAGTATAAATATTCTGCATTTTAATTAGGCCACTTTGTAAATAGTCCTGTAATCTTATGTTAAATACATATTTCAGACAGTTTTCTAATACATTTTTAAATACAGTTTGAAAAAGAATTATGTATAAAACCGGTCATCTGTTTTGTATATACTCAAAATAGACTATAATCCCTCAATTTTTGGTATGACCTGCTGGCTTATGTTGGTTCCACAGTAACCGACATTCTCTGGCACGTTGCTCAAGTGATCATTTTTGTTCGTGCCCCTGCTCAGTGAGTGGTGGCAGCTTATCCATTGAAAAGTGTGAATCAGTCCTCAACCTACGTCCACACAAGAGCTTCTAAAAGGTGGCAGAGGCAGGTTTGCAACCAGTGGGAGAGGGGTGAGGGCTGAGCCATCATTGATGCCACCTTCCTGTCGCTTTCCAAGCTGCCTCATTCCGTACCTCCAACTCCATCTCTTTTCCCATCACTCTACTTGCTGTCGTACTTCCCACTCCGCCTCTCTTCCCATCACTCTACTATCTGCTTCCAGAATGATAGGAAGCGAGGTGGAGTGGGAGGTATGAGGCAGCGCGGAAAGCAATATGAAGAGAGCCGGAGTGGGAGGTAAAGATGTCATCATATGCCTAAAAGCCACCGGGGGGGACTGTGGGGGGTGAAGGGGAAGTCATCACTCCCACTCTCCTATTATCTCTACCACTGCTTCTAAAGCAAGAGTCACCGGGGCCATTCAGGAGTGAGAACATATTTTTATGAGCCTTTAAAAACTAGCAATACAAATGCAAAGCTGCCAATAAATTGCAACTGACTGCTGAAAAGGTTGCACTCTTTATCATTCTTAAAAATTTCAACCACTTTTCAATCACTTAATGTTTTAATAAAGGTCAGAGCATGTTAAAAATAATGTTACACAGATTGATTCTTTGATGATTATGAAATAAAACACTAGAAGGTCAGAGTGTCCTTAACAATTCAATATGCTAGCAGTCAATAATATAATTGAGCTAACAGTCCACCACGTGGCATTCACTTACTGAGGGAGCAGATATTCCTTCATGAGAGACAGCAGTTTGCCATTTGTAGAAGGCTTCTCCCTTTTCTCTTCAGACATAGTCTCTTGGTTCACCAACAGCAATGCAGTTTCTGCCAACAAACGCAAGGTGAAGATCCGCCACTCCACTTGAAAGACAAGCGAACGTAAAAAAGTTAAAAAATTTTCTCCTTCCAAATTTTTTTTAAAAAAGGAATGAAAGGCGGCACCAATGGATATTGGATACATGACTGCTCTTACCATTCTGACTAAGCACCAATGAAACCAAGGCTGGGAGAATGCAGTCAACAACCTGAAAGAAGTAATATGCAATGATTAAAGAGAAATTCTTAGTTGTTTTGTCATTTTTACTAACCCAATGGAATTAGGTTTACTAAAATAAATGTAATTTATCACAAGAATTGCTACTTATTTCAAAATAATATCTTTATAAAATTAGTAGCAGTAAAAATTCCAAGTATTGTTGTCCCAAAAAACCTCACGGCCTTAAAACCATTGCGTTAAAATTTAACATCATGCACAATTCGGGAAAATTCTTAAATTCAGTCTTAAATTGGAATCCTATTTTCTGCAGTTCTTAAAAGAAATTGGAAAAACGGCTTGAAATTAAGATTGAATTTAAGACCATTCCAAAATTCTGCACTACCTTAAATTTTAAGGCATAATATCACAAGGTATTTTAGATCTCTAGGATCTCAATAATACTATGTTAAGAAAAAGGTGACGACGAACAAACTTTCAATTCTGAAGAGAAATACAGCAAATTTATAAATATTCTATACCTGTGATTAAATCAGAATACATACTGGTGCCCAGATACCGAGGATAATCTCAAATCATGCTTGGCAATATCTTAAATTCTCTTTTGGTCGTGTATCTGAGACTGTGGTTAATACTGATGAAAAATAATATTGCTAAAGATTACAAAGAACGTACAGCATGGAACAGGCTAATCGACTCAACCTGTCTGTGTCAGTGTTTATACTCAACCCGGGTCTTGACCCATTCCTTACTCCATCCCATACATATTCTTTTCTGGGGATAACAGTCCCTCAAAAAAACAATAATAATTTGTTTACTCAATCCACGACTGTTTGTGGGACACTGCTATGTGCAATCAGCTGCTGCGTTTTGCCCACAAATAAACAGTCAATTCACTTTAGTGTATATTCTGTGAAGCACTTTGAGACATCTAGAAGACATGAAAAGCTCTATATCAAATGCAAGGATTATTATTATTCCTCTCTCCCTCATGTGAAGGTCTGCTTTCCTCTTGAATGCAACTACACTATCTGATTCAACCACTGCTTCAGGCTGTGAGTTCCACAATCTCATTACCTTCATTACCCTCTTGGTCATGGACTCACCAAACAGAGGAAACAGTCTATTTATGTTCTCCCAATCAGAAGTCTTTGTTGAATAATCAGTTTCCCCTAATATAAATGCACTGTGTGGTGTGGTACAGAGCCATACAGGCAGGAACATCTTAATAATAATAATCCTTGCATTTGATATAGTGCCTTATCACATTGTTGAGACGTCTCAAAATGTTTCACGGGATACATATATGCATTGTAAAGTGGATTGACTGTGTATTTTGTGCGCAAAACATGGTAGTCAATTGCACACAACAGTGCCCATAAACAATCATGATTAGACTAAATTAAGTCTTAGGTTTGACATTTGATCTATACTGAATTAGCTCATTTTAGTTTCATTGGCATTGAGGATGCTACGATTGATTTCACATCACCTGAATCAAGGAAGAGCAAAATTGGTGAATGCTGAGTACTATTCAGTGATCCTGTAAGTGGTTTAAATTGTTGTTTCTCTTGTCCTCCAGTCACTATAGGTTTTCAATTACGAGTCATACCAAGAACATTCTGATAATTATGACAAATATTTTAGTGTTGCTCAAAGAATTTGATTTGTTCTCCTTTAATATCTAAACACTGGCACATGAACACCATCTCCGTGGCATTACACTTGGGGTTAAAGTAGATGCAGAATCACAAAATTTGCTGACAAGTCTTTATAAAGAAAAATTGAGAACCCATAATTTACGGTGCCCTGCTGGCTTCACTTGTGGAAGTGAATACTATCATTGAAATTGAGCAGGGGGGATAGTGGAGCTTAATGTAGAGGGTCAGTAGGGCTCAGTGTGAATAAACATCTCATTTCAAGATTCCGTGGGGTTGAGTGTGGGGATCAGCTTTCCAGTTACATACTACAATACCAGGTTTCTGAGCATTGACACTTCCTTCATTTCACTCCAGTTTGAGCATTAACTGGACCAGGGGAACGAACGCTGCAATGTGTGTGACTAGTGTGGAATATAAATGAAGTCTGTTTCAGGATCCTGGACTATTTTTAGCTTTACTCTTGCAAGAATTTTTTACCATTTGACAAAAAGAAAGCAGAACAAGAAACTTTCAATGTCCTTGAAATACCTTTAATTTTAATGGAAGTGAACATTATATCTCATACATATAAGAACATTAATTTGGGCCAATATCATGAATTTGATGATCTCCAATTTTGCACAAAGTGAAGGCCACAAAAGGATTAGTCCGTCTTTCCACATCTATGGTAATTTTACCTAATAATGGAGCTAAATTATCCTGCACAATCTGGCCTCAGTTTTAAGACAGCATCAATTTCAAAAATGTAATTCCATTTTTTGGCTGACTAAAAAGGCAGAGGAGAGGAAGCAGATGGTAGACCAGATTTTCAAACAGGGGGACGGGGGGAGCTTTGCTTTCCACCCAGAACATTCTGTATCCTGAAATACTGCCAACTCTACAGTTTTGGGATCAAACCCTTCAAAAAGTTAATGTTCCAACCAACCTCTCCCCCAACCAATTTTTTATTTTAAACATTTTATTTTGCTCAAACGGAAATTTAAAATGGAATCTTAAATTTCTCTTGACTTTTCACTTTTGCCTTCCGCCATATTTTATCCCCTTTTTCTGCTTGGCTTGAGCCACTTCAGCTGCAGCCTGACCAGGCCACTCCCAATGTATCCACAACTAGGAGGTGTTGTAGCTCTCTATCTCCAACTTTCCTTCTGACTGGTGAAACATGCCACAAAACTCTAGTGGAACCCACTCACTGGCCATGACTGAGGTCAGGAATCATGTGGAGCGAGATTCAAACACTTGTTGTCACTTCACTATGCTGAAAGATTTATGCTAAAAGAAATGGCTAAATTAACTGCAGACACCAGAAAAATGTAATAGCGAGGTAAATAGGATAAACATAACTATTAACCACACTAAAACCATGATCCTGTTAAACTGTTCTGTTCTCAAACATGTATTGGATGGCAGAGGATGGCAACATTGTGTTGCTGAATTTCCCTAGTATGTAGTACTGAATGCACAACAGTGGTCAATTAAGGGACATGTCATCCGATATACCATGAAAGTCATATTTGAGAGCAAAAATAGCTTGGTTTCCATGGAGGAAATTAAGTATGTACATCTTAAGTAAGCAATACATTTTGTAGCACCTTTCACTTTGAGAGAAAACGTCTCAAAGCAGCCATACAAAATATCATGCATTTTAAAAACAAGTGGTATAGGTCTTGTGTGCAATGGAACATAGAGCACCCTGACAGAAAAATATATCAGTGTTAGACATACAACAACAATTTGTTTATATAGCGCCTTTCACATCGGTTATTTCAGAGCACTTCACACCGCCGACATGAGGGGAAGAGCTAAGGAAGGGTGAAGACTGAAACCATGATCGAAGAAACAGATTTTGAGGTGGGTTTGAAGGCAAAGAGAGGGCAAGGAGGAGGATTTCAATTGTGGGGGCAAATGAAGCATGCCAATGTTTATTGAGTGGATGGAGGGCCTGGAGCTGTGTGGTCGCAGAAGGTTGTAGAGATAGAATGGGACCAGGCCATGGAGGCATTTTAAAATGAGGATGAGAATTTTGAATTTGATCTGCTGGGGGATGGGGAGGCAGTGGTGCTCGGCGAAGATGGGAGTGATGTCGCTCGCAGAGCCTGGAGATGACACAAGCTGCAGAGTTCTGGATAATCTGCAGCTTGTATAACGCACTCATAGAATTTTAAATCATTAAATCTTAAGTCATGAGTACATAACACACACATAGAATTTTAAATCATTTTGATGCAGATTATCTCTCGTTTCCTTGTCACACAATGAATAAATAAATCTGGTGGTTGCTAGGAAAAAATAGCAAGGGCAATATACTGTAGTAGATCATGATGAGCTGTTCTTAACACGAAAAAAAAACTGGGCAATGATATAGATTTCAATCTGGATTAATATGTCAGTCAGTATTGGGGACAGAGGGCAGGATCTTAGTAAAAAATGTACACAATGAAATTATTGCTATTAATAAGGTCAAAGGATGGCATTGACACAAATTACTTTGAGGGCGGCTGTTAATGCATGAAATAAAAAAAAGTACAAGTTTTCTTTCACATAGGATATTGTTGGATTAGTTTGGTCTATTATTCCATCTACTTTTTTCTACTTTGTAATATTGAAAATTTGTTTACAGGTTTGTGTTTAGGTGTTCTACGAACGACAAGTAAGAATAATTTAGAAACTGCAAACCATGTTCACAGCTTAAAGTACTGGCTGATTTAGACATTTGTGGGCAGGTGAGAGAAGAAAATTGTGATTTGGGGGTTGATATGTGGTATTTGAAAACTGGAATAATAATAATGCCACATCTTGTATTATTAAAAGCACCTCATATTGAAATGTCTATAAACATTTTGCAAGTATTCTTTGTCAAGTGTTTTTGTAGATAATTGTTGAAGCCATTTGTGCTAGCAAAGTTCCACAAATAGCCATAAAATAAATCATTAATCTTGAGGATTCGTCAGGGCACTGGGAATAACTACAACAACAACAACAACAAGATTCCATTTATAAAGCGCCTTTCACGTCAGGAGGACGTCCCAAGGCGCTGCACAGTTGGGTCATGACCCGAGCAGGGGGGAAATGGTCAGGGTGAGGGGAGGGAGCGAGGAGGGGGGAAATGGTCAGGGTGAGGGGAGGGAAGGGAGGGAGCGAGGAGGGGGAAGAGAGTCGAGAGGGGAGCTGAAGGCTCGGTCAAAGAGAAAGGTTTTGAGACCGGCCTTGAAGGAGGAAAGGGAGGAAGCGGCGAAGGCACTGGAGGATGGAGTTCCAGAGCCTGGGGGCTGAGAGGCTGAAGGCCCGACCACCGATGGTAGGGCGGTTGGGGCGGGGGACGTGGAGCAGACCGGAGCCAGAGGAACGGAGGGTACGGGCAGGTAGGTAGGGG